TACGAATTGCCGGTAACCGAATGAAATCCCGGTTACGGGTACTTTACGCAAATATAAATATCAAGGGGGGGGGGGGTAAATATCGCAAGTGACATCATGCGCGAAGAGGCGATGAACGTGAGAATCGCCAGGCAGGCTGTCCTGTGACTTCGATATAAAAAAGCCTGCTGCTGCTCTATATAAGAACGGCAGACACAGCAGAGCCTCACCATTCTGGCGAATTGCCCGATGATGCTGGATGCAATTACCAGCGAAACGTCGTACTCAAATTGTAAATGTTGTGGCTTCAACACACCGGTGGGCTAAAGCAGTGAACTATTTGTCTTTTGTCAACGTGACACTTTTTTACTGATTGGCCGTGTCGGGTGGTGGAGGGTTACGACACATTTATAAATAACGCGATCTAAACCCAAAAACGTTGATTATGAATGATTATAAAAAAAGCCTTACTTCACCATTCTGGTCAGTGATGGCTTGGTGGGGTTTGTGGAGGAGGAAGCTGCCCATGACCTGTTCAGATATCAGTGAGAAAGAGCTTTATAGCTCATTGTATTCGTCCTGCATGAATACATATGCTGATTCTGAACTCGTCCGAGCCACCGGTGTTGGCACCTGGTCCGTGAATCGAACTCAGGTCGCAGGCTTCACAGAGTGAGGCGTGGGCTCGAATTACAACCAAATTGAACGCTCCTAGATTTGAAGCTTTCGTGACTGCAAGGATTCATACTCTTTGGTATTTTCAGTAAAGTCACGTAGGTAAAAAATAAAATAAATGAAAACTAAATTAAATCACGACGTTTCGGGCGCAACAGAAGCGTCCTTCTTCAGTTGGGGACAACGTAGCGAAAGCACAACCGCTTAAGTGTGTCTAAGAGATGGCTGTGACGAGGAATTATATAGTCGTGGGGGATGGAGGGAGGGGAGGGGCCATGGTGAGTGTGTGGGCGGGCTATGGACCGAAGAGGCAACATAGTGAGGTACGGGGGTCGCTGGGAGGCAATGCATGGAGTTTAAACTGAAACTTTGTGATGCAGGGGGCGGAAGTAGATAAGAAAGCTAAGATTAAGCAGCCTTTTGTTATGCTGCCGGGGGATAAATTAGAAATGCGCAAGCTGAAAACAACGTGTGGTAATGGTGATGGTAGTGTGTGAAGCTGGGGGTAACAGACTGGGAATATGAATATGATTATGAAAATAAATCTAAACTGGCTGTCTAGCAGTAAACTGCACGGCAGCTAAAGTTTAACTTGGTTAATTACATCCTTCCAATGATTGCTCAAATTGAATCCATCATCTCGGTTGAATTTATGTCTATGTTTGTATATCTGGATGGCTTCATGGACAAATCTTTGGTAGTATCCAGGAGGCTTGCAGAGTACCTTGGTATCAGAGAA